ATCTCCCCAAAACCCCAAAACCCCATCATGAAAAAATATATATAGAAGCTTATCACTCTTAGTAATATTTTAATAATTAGTAATAAAGAAGTTAAAATGAAGAAAATTTCAGCCTTCAAGCTAAAGAACTTTGTGTCCTATTTATCTTGTGTCGAGGAATTTGAAAATCCAAATGTGAAGCTGGAGTAATATATGACTCCTCCTGATATCACTGCTAACATGTTCTCAATATTTCATGTAAGCACTTATTTAGCCCTAATAACTCAGTTAGTTTGAGGAAGATGCTATTGAATCTAAAACGATTGCTGATTTTTGCTGTGGCACTGGGATGTACTCAATCGCTTCTACCTATTTCAAGCCAGAGTAATAATATTAACCGTTAAATAGATTTATACAGTAAAGTATTTGGGTTCGATATAGATACTGAGGCATTATAAACTTGCACAGAGAATATCGAGAATGCTGAGTTGGTTGACTAAATCGAGCTAGTATAATGCAATATTTGTGAGATTTAAGATAACCCAAGATTTAAAGATTATTTTGATACTGTAATTATGAACCCTCCTTTTGGAACAAAGAATAATGAAGGCATTGATATGAAACTACTTAGCACTGCTATATATGTAAGAATATTTTCTTGAAAGACAATCAAAGGCTTCAAAAGGAAAAGTATTTTCGTTGCACAAAGAGTCAACATCTAAATTTATTGTCAAATATGTCAAGGAAAATCATGGGTTGAATGTTGAACTCCTATAAAAAATCTAATTCGATTTGCCTAATACATATAAATTCCATAAAAAGAGTAATAAATTTCTTATGATATTTTTAGAAAATGCTGTAACGGAAGTGGTTTTGATTAAAATAGACAAGAATGCAAAAGTTAATGAAGCGTAGTGATTAGTCAAAATCAGGCTGATTTCATGTGATTAATTGATGATTTACATTTTGAATTTTCTTTGCATTTTATTCTATGGGGTTTTGGGGTTTTGGGGTTTTGGGG